TTTTTATCAAATAATACGTCATTAATAGCGGTTCACTTCCGTGATTTGGTACGATTGCGTTCACATCAGCAGCGAACCGTACCGGAGTTCACTTGAACCGTACCCCAGACCACCCTTTTTAAGCGGACTCGGGTATGGTTCGTGGGTGCGCACCCGAATTCGGAAGACAGCGTTCACATCATCCAAACAAACCGAACTCTGACGTCAATCGAACCCGGGTGCGCACCAAAAGTGCTAGTGTGAAAGCACCCTTATTCAGAAGAATCTAAACTTATACAGGTAAAAAGCATGTGCAATATTTGGAATTGGACTTGGTTTTAACTAGAGATGCACCGATTGCAATTTTCTTGGCCGATTCCGCTTTTTTGTTAGTGTAATCTGCCGATACCGATTTTTGCCGATTCCGATTTTCTTTCTAAGAACTATAATTGACAGCATATACAAACAAAAATCTTATACCTAAAAGTTTTGAGATCCTGACATGGGCACAAATTTGTCCAAGGAAGCCAAAAAAAAAAAAGTAAAATCATTAATTTTAATGACTACTGTTCAAATGTTTATTTGAATTAATCATTTTATTAAACAAGGTTAATTGGATCAAAAGTGACAGTAAAGACTTTTATAATGTAACAAAAGATTTCTATTTCAAATAATTTATTAATATTAGTTAGGCCTGTCGCAATAATCAATATATCGACTTATCGCGCAATATATGTACATGACCTCAATAATTTTTGGTGACGCAATATATTGCACATTATATTTACTTAAAACTTAATGTCACCATGTTTTGTACATTCCACTTGCGCCTGTGTCTTTTGCAGCTTCTTGTACATAACGTGGTGTAGTCATGAGGTGCTAGTTCAAATGTAAAAAATGCTTTTACAAAAAAAGTTTAATCTGCAGATATGGTCTTGTTTAGGGATCTGTGCCTTTGTGCATACGGACATCTGACTGCTAAGTAGTGATTGTGTTTTTCAGCAATAGTGTGCACCCTTAATTGCTGTGTGAGGTTTCTGCATGTTGTCCATGTTGAACAATTGTGTCTGCACAAAGTGCTACTTACTCTGTTAACCTGTCATGAATTCTGCGGCTTCTCCGCAGGGGTGTGCCTCTGTTTTCACAACTTGGCCACGTGCTCCCTATGCCCCTATTGTGCATGTGTGTGTTTTGCAGTGGTACTTGCTAACTCACACTTGGCTGATAAGAGCTGCTCGCTGTGGCATGGTTACAGTGGGCTTTTTATGTCCATTGGCTGGTGTTTTTTAAAGGAGTGGTTTCTGATTGAAAGTGCAGAAACGTATCTAATCCCTGATTGGCTGAGGGAGGAGGAAAACCTCCTGTGATTGGACCAAACCCCTCAGATACCCTAGTTGTTTTGTTTTTTTTCCCCTTCCATTCAGTCTGTTTACAGCAGGTCTGAGTTCAGAATCTCTTGACTTCCTCTGAGAGAGAGAGAGAGAGAGATAGAGAGATAGAGACGAGAGCGTAAGTGAGAGCGAGGGGTGGGGGTCACAGGTGTGTGGACGCGCACTTAAGGATCTGTTTGTGTGTAAAGTGCTAAGTGTGTTAAACAGCATGACAAGAATAATGTTGAGAGAGGCAAAAGGGTGCGTGTCATTTGTGAGTGTTCAGGCACAGTTTTAAACGGCTGTAAGATAAAGTGAAGCTCCTTTCACAGTTTACATTCAGACATTTGTGTTCTTCATAATATTTTCTCATTATATATATTTTTAATTTCCTTGAAAATAGTGGTGTATATATTGACATTTACTATAACATTAACATTATATGTGCTTTTGTATTCAACACTATTACTTTGCCCTGCTGATGGTCATAAATATGCCAGATAAGTGGAAAAAGTCACGTGACGGAGACAAATACTACAGTAACCATGTAGAAAGTGAGGATATGCAAGTGCAGTAAAATGCAATAAAATAAAAGTGCAATAAAATGAGACAAAAGTCATTAAAAGTGAACGAATATTAAAATTAATAGTAAAGTAAAAAACACAATATTGGAGTACAAGAGTATGAGTTCAGTTTCAGTGTGCTCCTGGAATATTACATTATCACAAAATTATTGAAATTCGTTTTGTGCGCATTGACATTAATTACATCACATGGCACTTTTTATGCAGTTTATGTTGTAATATAGTCTACACAATTGAAGTGATGTCAGACAAACTGTTGACTTTTTTTTCAATTTTTTTTCCAATTTTTCTCAAGTGTTTTTTCTTCTATTTTAAGTCCCTTGTTCTCCTTTTTATTTTTCCTGAGGTTAAACAGCCTGTGGAATACACTTACTCTTTGATCTCATCCAGAAAATGCGATTTGTTATTCTTCCTTTATTCTCTCTCTCTCTCGCTCTCTCTCTCTCTCTCTCTCTCTCTCTCTTTAAAATTCAAATTCACTCATTCGCTTAGGTTTTTCTTTTTCTTTTTTTCTTTCCCTCAATCACTCTTTTGGCTGGGTGGGACCAGTGTAGTGTCCTCATTCATTCTCAGAATGCCCACTGCTTAGCAACAACCAATCAGCCTTCATATTTTTGGAGGGGCCTTCCAGCCAATCAGGAGTGCTGTGCTATAGGATTTTCTGCTCTTCAATCCAATTGGAGAATGAGAACAAATGGTGTTGACCCAGAGCATTGAGATGAGCAGAACTGAAGTGCCCTTAAATTCTGACCTCATCAGTGTTGATGTCTGAAGGGATGTGTTAACTCTCATAAACTTGATCAAAGCGACTCCTTCTCTCTTAGTCCTGCTCTCTACCCTGCAGGTGCGTTTCCTCCTGTCTATTAAAAAGTTCCCTGGCACTTTAGCCATGAAGTGTCCTGTGTAGACTTCAGTTCTAGTTAGCTTTTATTGCATACTACAAAAGAACAAATAGTTTGTGATAGTTTGGCATGCGCACAGTTTAATCTCCCAGTTTTCTAGGCCAATTGTAGACATTATAGACATTAAGAGTTTAAAGGGGTCATATGACATTGCTAAAAAGAACATTATGTTGTGTATTTGGTGTAATGCAATGTGTTTGCGGTTTAAGGTTAAAAAAACACATTATTTCCATATAATGTACATTATTGTTTCTCCTCTATGCCCCGCCTTTCTGAAACGCGTCGATTTTTACAAAGCTCATCGTTCTAAAAAAGCGAGGTGTGCTCTGATTGGCCAGCTATCCAGTGCGTTGTGATTGGCCGAATGCCTCAAGCGTGTGGCGGAAATGTTATGCCCCTACCATACTGTGATGCCGTCTCCCAGCAGGACGAGACAAAACCAATAAAACCCATTACAAATGAGG